GGGGGATAGGTCAGTCCAGGGAGGACGGACAGGTCAAGGGGGCGGGATGAGGTTAGTCGGTAGGAGATGGGGGTGCCTCCCTGGACTGACCTATCCCCTCCCTAACTCCCCACCTACACTCACCTTTACTGGCCCCATCCCTGCCTCTTCGACCTGTTTGTTTCCTCTCCACCTATCCTCTCCTCTATCCATCTTCTATCCGCCTCCCACTCTCTCCCTATTTATTTCAGAACCCCCTTCCCCTCCCCCTTTTCTGATGAAGGGTCTAGGCCCGAAACGTCAGCCTTTCTGCTCCTATGATGCTGCTTGGCCTGCTGTGTTCATCCAGCCCTGCACCTTGTTGTCTCAGATTCTCCAGCATCTGCAGTTCCTACTACCTCTGATTCAATAGCTACCCAGCAAACCTAGCAAGGTGATTTTCTGTCATTAGGGAGAAGCTTTTATTGATTTGCCGTCTTTAGGGAGAAGCTTTTATTGATTTGCCTTGACCTTTTAGATTAACTAACTAAACAATGACTCACTTTGTGCAGTAACTGCCTGGCTGTGATCTTCTCGTTGACAGCAAAAACAGTGAATGGTTCAGGACCCGGCACTCCATGAACTGTCACGTGGTAACTGCCTTCAGATCTGTGGTCCTCGGTGTTAAACAGCTGTTTAGAGCAAATTTACTGTTAGTTTTGTGTTGGCACATTTTATAATCAAATTGTTCAACAGGATTCCAACTAAAGTCTGTGGAACTCATTCTGATATTACCACTGATGAAGATAGAAGGTTTCCAGTGTTGTTTTCTTCTATCCTTCGGCTGTAAATGAAGAGACTAGATATCTCCAGAGATTCATTATGAGAATTTCTTAGTTGTAGGTGTCTGTATCCTGAGAGAAACAAAACATTAACAAAATTCAATACTTTGGGGATTAGATTGAATCATTGTCATTATATTCTTTTCATCACATTATCTACAACTGGTCCTTTATGATATGAAAAGGGAAGTCAAATAAACTCCTCTTTAAGTCTTTTCTCTCCTCTCTTGGATCTTTCTGATATATTGACCATCCTTGGCCTGAAGGTTAGCTACAGTAACTTGTTCAGCTCCTTCCATACCCCAAATCTTCAGCAGAACAACGGCAACAGATACAAGGGAACACCACCACCTGCACATTCCTTTCCAAACCAAAAATCATCCTGTCTTGGAATTAGGTCACTGTTCCTTCACTGTTTTTGGGTCAAAATCCTGGAACCTCCTTCCTAACAGCACCATGCGTGATCCTATACCCCATTGGCTGCAACAGTTCAATAAAGGTGCCTCACCACCACCTTCTCAAGGGCAATTAGGGATGGACAACAAGTGTTGGCCTCCCCAGCAAAATACGCACCCTGTAAATGAATAAACAAAAAGATAAAGGTACACAGAAACAGTCTGATCCTGTCCTGTCCTCCATTTGCTGTATCTTACTAGCTGTTCAGTACTATATCACACTGTTTGCTTTAATTTGATGCTTCTTAAGGGGAAGTCTGAAGGAAGCAGTCATCAAGAACAGAATGGTCATACCAATCACTGCAATTTGCAGTTCAGCAATGGCACAAACAACTTACTGCAAGACAGCTTAATGCCTTCTTCACTTGCAGTAGAAGAGCTTTTAGCCAGTTCGAGACAATCATCTGATACAAATTGCACATCACCTAATGGCCTCAGAAGTTTTCTTCAATCTAAATGAGACGCTCAATCAACAAACCATTTTGCACTTTTCCCTGTTATGGTAGGACGAGGTCATTAATTTTCCGACTTGCACTTCAACTGTCAGTAGCAGCTATTACTAACAAAGCCTGAAGCTCACTGGCACTTCAGGAGCCTGTATCCATCAAAATGGACAGGCTGGACACCTGGATCGCTCAAATTTCCAGCCCCTATAGTACGAATGGATCACAGACACCAGATTTTTCTTTGTTCATTCATAGGACAAGGGTGTTACCAGCTAGGCCAGCATTTATTGCTCATCCCTAATTACGCAAGCAAGTGCTTCCTTTACCTTGTAATTAACAATTGCGCCATTTCATGCTCTAATTCATGCCCTAAATTCAATTTCAGGAGGACACCAAGTGCTGACGTCGATAAAAATATATAATTGCAGTGCTCTTTCCTCATAGATAACCATTCAAGATTTGCTGCTTTCATTTGTCATCAGACCTGGGATGTAACTATTTGACTGTGCTTTTTGGGCTTCAGGCCACAACCTGTTTGCTGCCAGGAAGGACAAACTTGAAAGCAGAATACAAAGTTAACGGAAAGATTCTTGGCAGTGTGGAGGAGCAGAGGGATCTTGGGGTTCATGACCACAGTTCCCTGAAAGCTGCCACCCAGGTGGATAGAGTTGTTAAGAAGGCGTATGGTGTGTTAGCTTTCATTAATAGAGGGATTGAGTTCAAGAGCCGTGAAGTTATGCTCCAGCTATACAAAAACCTGGATCAGCCACATCTGGAGTATTGTGTCCAGTTCTGGTCACCTCATTACAGGAAAGATGTGGAAGCGTTGGAAAAGGTGCAGAGGAGATTTACCAGGATGTTGCCTGGAATGGAGGGAAGGTCTTACGAGGAAAGGTTGACAGAACTAGGGCTTTTCTCTTTAGAACGACGAAGGATGAGAGGTGACTTGATAGAGGTGTACAAAATGATCAGAGGTATAGATAGAGCGGACAGCCAGAGACTTTTTCCTAGGGTGGAGGGTAGCTATTACGAGGGGACATAGTTTTAAAGTGAGTGGAGGTAGATACAGGGGAGACGTCAGAGGTAGGTTCTTTACTCAGAGAGTGGTAGGGGCGTGGAATGCATTGCCGGAGAGGGTAGTGGAGTCGGCCTCATTGGGGGCATTAAAGCGGCTATTAGATAAGCATATGGATGATAGTATAAGGTAGGGGTGGAGGTTAGATAGACCTTAAGTTTAGGGTAAAAGTTCGGCACAACATCATGGGCCGAAGGGCCTGTACTGTGCTGTACTGTTCTATTTTCTATGTTCTATGTTCTATGTTCTAGGTCCCAGCTACATCCATATGGCATTTGATGACTCTATGGCAAGTGGCAATAGCAGAAGGATAGCCTTCAGTCATCAGCAGGTACAGCAAACTTAAGGGGAATGAGCTCAACCTGTGATTTCCTCACTATTACAATGAACAGACTGAAAGCCACAAGCTGAGAGTCCATTATCAACACTTTAAGGGCCTTAACCAACATCACAGCTCCTTTAGCAGCATTGCCCTGCACAGGTTGATGACTAGTTTACAGGGACGGCACTTCAAAACCTAACTGAAAATCGCAGGAAGTTGTCTAGATGCAAATTCCTCATTTTTTTCCATTTAATTAGTCACAGAGGATAGGTTTTCATGCCATACAACTGCAGTTATGATGCCAACAACATTAAAGTATAAATATGTTTTTAGAAAAATGCACAAAGTCATTAAGGCCAAATAAGCAGAATAATCTTTTCAAAAATCAACCCCGCTTACCGTCCTTCCCAAACGTCTCAACTCAATCTCTCCAGAAGTTAAACCAATTGCCTTTCACAACACCTTCACTGTTTGCTTCAATGTCTTGTCCTGATAATGCACTCCACAACTACATTGTTCTCGTGGTGAACACATGTTGCTTATTTTCTTCCCTTATTTCACTATTTATCATAATCACTTTTGGCAAGTTCATTCAAACTTCAGAACTTCACCTCAGTCAATCTCTTTTCTCAAATAAGCCAACTTTTGCAGTCTTCCCACACAACTTCCTGATGCCACAATGAGGAAGCCAATTAATAACTTAGCTGTTTGAAGAAAGTGGATCTTGGTCTCGACTATGCTTGAGCTATAAGTGGCCTTATCATCCAGAGGTTAGGAAGAAGAAACTGGTCTGGAAATCCCTGGGATGCTTAAACACTGAAAACCTTGGGAGTAAATGTCGGACAAGGATGAGGAATGAACTGGTAAACCTGCCATGTTCCTTGCAATAAATAAGGCAGCTAATATTCACCATTAAGATACAAATATTAAAATAGATACTTGGATGAGATACAAGAATCCATCACTATTGTAACCAATTTTTAAACTCAGTATAAGTAAATGAACTGTGCGAGTTAAAAGTGAGCCTATTATCTCCAAAAGAGGGGATGAGATGAATAAATAAATAATAATTACTAAGTTATTACTCTCTGCAGCCATCCAAGGGAAATAACATCTTTCCCTCGATTAATCAACTTGATCAAAACATAATACTCCAAATGAGATACAATCGGAATGCTATCCAATAATGTTACATCCGCACACAAAGGAACAAAAATGAAGGGCACAAAAGACCAACTGGTCCAGCACATCTTTTCTGGAACTGAAACTTAATCCTTCACTAAGTGTGCATGTGCTGGATTGATAGCCAGCAAAGGAAGGTCAAAGATGTATTGTCAGAATGCTTACAAAATTCCATAATTTTAAGCTGGGTCATAGAAAACCTCCCAACAGAATTTAAATGTTCAAACAGCATTCAGAGTTGTGCTTTCTAGATTCAGATGTGTCTGATGCAGAGGAAAGAAAGCCTTTAAAAATTTGTTTAGCAATTGGGAATAAAGGTTTACATAGATTTACTGTGTTAGTATTCACAGCTGCAGAGCTAAAAGATATGGACCACATTAAAAGACCACTTTGGAGTCAGATTAGACTTCTGTATTCGCCAACTAGAATTCATTTAGACAGAAGCCTACAGATCCATAAACTACTTCATCAGCAGTTACAGATACAAGCCACTGAACACAGGCTTCCAATCACTAAAGCAACTTTCAACCTTTCCTTCCTTCCACTAAGCCAATTTTGGATTTAATTTTCCAAATTGCACTGTATCCCACGTGTATTACTTTGTTGATCAATCCCCAAGGTGCAAGATCTTGTCAAAAAACCTTATGGAAGTCCACATAGGTTACACTCACTGGAATAGCCTTATCTACACATCTAGTCACATCCTCAAAAAACTCAATCCCACCTGTCGGACGTGATCTCCCTCTGACAAAGCCATGCTGACCAGAACGTTGGACTCCAACTACTAAATACCTGGCTGGAATTTGCATACTGCACACACAGCAATCATTTGGTCTGCTGTAATGTCTGTTTTGTAACTTATGATGGATTTCGCTGATTTAAATAAATCAAGTCAACGTGTTAATCAAATCCTGATAAATGATCGATTATTTAACCAATACCATTAACATGACATGGTCTGCTATGATTTTAATGTCAGGTTTTGAGGACTGAGTGGTAAATTTTGTCTCATTAAATCCAATTCCAATAGCTACTTTAAACCAGATATCTTACATCAACAGTTATGAAGATGGATCAGAAAGCTTGGAAATCTTTTCCTTGGAGAGAGGGGGAGCAGATCAGATCAAAGTTATCAAAAAAATGAGGGGACAGGATGTGCAGAAACTGTTCCCACTCTTAAGAGGATCAAGAATGAGAAGGAACAGATTTAAAGTGACTTTAAAAGAAGAAAATGGGATGTAAAAAGAATTTTTTAATGAATTTTTAAAATAGTAATAATGTGCAAGGTTATGGGAAAAGGAGAATAGCACAAAGACATGATGCTCATTTGAAGAGCTTGTATAGACGCAATGGGCTGGAAAACCCACTTTCTGTACAGCGACAGTTCTATGATCATGTAGGCAATGGTTCTGCTGCGTGACTTTGTCTAGATAGTAACATTCAATACAATTACAGACAACTGCCTTTTCTTGACATTCCGGCTGAAGCTAGGTAGGTGTTAATGATTTCATGGATTTATACTTTATAATTCCTTAACTCCTTTCCTGATCAGCATGCTGTACCATTGTTCCATTTAGCACATACTTTTGTCTACGTTAACCATCTTGCCATTAATTGTTTTAATTATGCAAAAAGTTAAAATGCTTCTAAATCTGGTTACATTGTCACTCATTATTTGCTCTGACCTATTTTAAGCACCATTTGCAAACATGGACATCATGTTTATAATTAATTTTTCATCCAAGTCCTCAATTCATATTAACAATAGAAAAGTTCTCAATACTGATCCTTTGTGTACCCTTATAATAACTTACTAACCTTACAATTCTCATTTGTGAATAGGTACTTTTTCCTGTTACTAAACGCATTTTCTATCCAGTCTCTTGTTAAGTCATTCTTTAATTTACCCAGCAATTGCTGACGCAGAACTTTGTCAAAAACTTTACAAAAATCAACATTCATGATACCACCGGTGTTCCCCTGTGCAACACGCCAAGAACATCTTTGAAAAACTCTGGCAGGTTAATTAAACATAACATCCTTCTCTTTCTTTCTTTTGACAAGTTCTCTTTTTCTCATGTGTTCACTTGCCAGAACTCTCCAGAAGGTTTTATAGAATTTTCGTGTAACAAAGAATCATCTCTTGACACAGAGAGAAAAAAAAAATCAGGTTAATTTACTAATTTGCCAAATATTACCAATATTCAATATTTTCCCCTGAATTTATTGAATTTACCAATGAGTAATGGATAAGCTTCAGCAATTACAAGCTCCACATTTTGTAAGACTTCATAGTGGAAAGTTAACCAGATGTGATATTTTTTGTCTGTATTAAGATAGTGAACTAATATTTTATTTTAATTAAAAGTTCACCTTTTACTGTTCCTAGAAACCGATTGTAATGTGACCCTTCTTTACCCTGGATAAAGATGTATCCAGTATGACTAGTTATTAATTGCCTTATTTCTGTGTCTCTAGGTTCCCACTGTTAGATGAAAATTCTTTTTTTCATCCTTGCATGCAACTTGAAAAACAATGAAACAGAAATTGGATTGGGTAGTAGCACAAATTTGGGTAAGAGAGGTCAGTAGCCCAATCCTGCCCATTGGAGTCTTTTGTTCATTTTGAAACCACTACGATTATCACTAAAATTATTCTTCACATCCCCACTGAATAGATTGTTTTCAGCATGATATAGCTGGAGTGAGTTTCAAATGTAATTTCATTTGCTTAAAAATTCCAAACTGTCCACAATAGACCTCCTAACTTTTATGGAACTTATTATTTTCTTTCACATTCCTTTGAAGTTTGCTCTTCCTGAAGTCTGTGCAAACAGTTACAATTTGTTTGTAAATGAACAACAGCGACAGCAAGAAAATGCAATAAAGTCAAACTGACTCCTTAATCATTTTTTTCAAACTACCTTTCACGTTGTGACATTTAAAACAGTGTAAAATCTTCAATTATTCACATTTATTTTGATCGCCATCCAGTAGTCAGGACGCTCTCAGCCCAACCATGCATCTCAAGACAGAAGAAGGGATTAAGTCAGTGAAAGTGGTTATTACCTCTTTTAAGGGCTTTTAACTGCACCACTCTTTGAGCTGTTACAGTGGAGCTGTTGTTCTCCACCACCACAAAACGTAGGAAAACAAGGTCTTCGAAGTAAATGTGGAAGAAGAACTGCTCATTCCACATGGGGTTCAGGGTGTTGCGATGAATGGGCTTGGTGCGAAAGTGACAACTGTCCTGTGGCATACCAAGTACGTCAATTTCAATGCATGGACTCCCTGATGTGTTGCTGGGACAAACATACTGTCCAGAAATGATCTAGATTGTTTTAACAAGAGAATCAATCAGCTTCAGTATCAAATGGTAGTGAGAAACTTAAGAATTAACTTCAAATCACAGTTAAAACGCCAAGTTAAAATTGAGTCCTAACACAGACTTTGTGGAGCAGGTTCACACACTTTATTGTAGTTCTATCAAATTCTCTAAGTACTTTCTATTTGACAAGGGGTGGATTGGCAAAAAAAAAAGACAGCAAATTACCCGACTTGTAAAAATCTGTACAATTTGCAGTTATTTTGTGATGTTGCCATAGTAAGCCTAATCTGCCAAAATAGGGAAGATTAAACAAAGCAATTTGTTAAAATTCATTGGAGGTGTGTCTGTAAAAAGGTCTGATTCGCTGCACTCAGTAAAGTGCTAGAATATTAATAATATTATTGCTAGACTATTAATCCAGAAACTCAGCTAATGTTCTGGGGACCCAGGTTCAAATCTTGCCATGGCAGATAGTGGAATCTGAATTCAATGAAGAATCTGGAATTAAGAGTCTAATGATGACCATGAAACCATTGTCGATTGGTGGAAAACCCCATCTGGTTCACTAACGCCCTTCAGGAAAGGAAACTGCCATCCTTACCTCGTCCAGCCTATGCGTGACTCCAGACCCACAGCAAGGTGGTTGACTCTAAGATTTTAGAGTAGATTTGTAGCTCAGGTTGTGGATGTTGGTTGACTCTTTGCTGCCCTTTGGGTAATTAGAGATGGGCAACAAATGCTGGCCTAACCAGAGATGCCCACATCCATGTGCAAATTAAGAAATACACCTGCGTATCACAAACAAACTCTGGTAATTTTAGCCAAAATATTTAGTTTGAATGTCGCTCACTAGCTAACATTAGAATTTCCTGAAATAGAAAATAAAAATGAATAACTAACAGTGAGATGGTAACTTAATTTGTTAATTTAAAAAGTTATAGCAGCTTGAGCCACAGGTTGACTTTGTGACTGAGCTGGCCTGTCATTTTGATGTGTATTTGTGAAATTACGGAGGAAGATGCCCAAATTGATGATTAATTGGTTAGGTCTTACTGAATTAGCAGGGATTCACGGAATCATAGAAACCTATAGCACAGTAAGTGGCCATTTGGCCTGTAGTTCAGGTACTAGCTCTTTGAAAGACTGACCATGCTTGGTTTCCCATATCCCTGCTTGTTGTTCCTAAACCCTGTTTTAAAATGCTATCATTTTATTTCTGATCTGAAATCATGTGTAAATCTTTTAAAGTTTTTCCAATGCTGCTTCATTTAAAATCTCTTTTCTTGATAGATATGATTACACGGTGACTCAAGTCAACACAAGACGGATGACATTAATGGCACTTCCAATCATCAACAACAACTTACCTCACATAGCACCTTTGCCATGGTTTAAAAAAAAAGCCTAAATTGTTTCCCAGGAACATTATCACACAAAGACTGTTACCAAACAAAAGAAGGGGATGCAAGGGCAGGTGACTAAATGCTTGGTCAAAGAGGTAGATTTCAATCAGTATCTTAAAGAGGACAGCGTTGGAGATAAGTGGTTTCCAGAGTTTAGGGCCTAAGATGGCGCAGTTACCAATGGTGGGGTGACAAGGGGATGCACTAGAGATTGGAGTTGGAGGAGGGCTACCGGATTTGAAGAGGTTACAGAGAAATACGTGTCAGAGCACATAGGTTCCAGGCATGAAATGAACCTGACCCTCAGCTTCAAAGCACATAATGCAGCAGTAGAGTGATTATATCTGTTCAAAAATTCAACCAAGTGATAACTTTAGATCCCAGTATTCTTTATAATTGTCAATTTGGCTTTTCTTGAAATGAAATATAAAATGACTATTAAGAGAGCAACAAAGAGTAAGGCACAGAAAAATTACAGACTATTCACTTAATGGCTAACCATCACGAGCAAATAACAACTATTTAATCTCAAATGGAACATGTCATTAAACATAAAAACTGAATGATGCTACAAATCAGAAACAAAAACAGAGATCGCTGGAAAAGCTCAACAGGTCTGGCAGCATCTGTGGAGAGAATTCAGAGTTAATGTTCTGAGGAAGGGTCACTCGACCCGAAATGTTAACCATGGCATTAAACATCTTGGAGCGAGTTTATTGGAATTAAACAAAAAAGGCCCCAAGATGCAGAGTTATTCAATGTAGACTTAATCAACAAAACAGACACAAAATGACAGACTGTGTTGTGCTGGTTATATTCCAAACCCAGTAAATAAGTCTACTCTTGCCTCAATGTGCTGAAAGCAACAGCAGACATCTTTCTGCACTTACTGTTAGAGAATATAGGGATGGACTCATGTTCTCTATTCGTTCCAGTGGAGAGAACTGATTGTGCATTCGACAGTTTTTATCCCACAAGACCGGTGACTTTAAGACGTAGCCACATCCTCCATTCGCTTCAAACATGGCTGCATTCAGATGTATTGGGAGATCTAAGGAAGATGAGAAAGAATGTTGTAATCTCAATGATTTTTATAGTATATTGTGGCTGAACCACTTTCTAGGGGAGGTGACGGCTTAATGGTATTATCACTGGACTGTTAATCCACCATGGCAAATAGCGGAATGTGAATTCAATAAAAATTTAGATTTTTTTTATTCATTCATGGGTTGTAAGCATCACTGGCTGGATCAGCATTTATTGCACATCTCTAATTGCTCAGAAGATAGTTAAGAGTCAACCATATTGCTTTGGGTTTGGAGTCACATGTAGGCCAGACCAGACAAGGATGGCAGTTTCCTTCTGTAACATATCATTGGTGAACCAGATGGGTTTTTTCCAACAATCAACAACAGAGTTATGATCATTAGACTCTTATTTCCAGATTATTGTTGAATTTGAACTCCACCATCTGCCATGGCAAGAAATAAAAGCCAGATCCTCAGAACATTCCCAGGGTCTCTGGATTAATAGTGTAGTGATAATTCCACAGGGTCATTGTCCGCCTATGAATTAAGAATCTAATGATGAACGTTGTCAATTATTGGAAAAATCCTTTAGGAGTAAAATGTCCTTGACGGAAGGAAATTCTGTCCTTACCTAGACTGGCCTATATGTGACTCCAGACCCACAGTAAGGTAGTTAACTCAACTGTCCTCTGGTTAATTAGGGATGGACAATAATGTTGGCTTAGCCAGTGACCCGCACATCCTAATGAATTTTAAAAAAACCTGGAGTGGTCCATCATTTTCAAACCATCGCTCCATAAAACTTTACAGCTTCCTTTCATTTCTGTAATTGGCGATTTGTTGTACAAGATCAGTCATCATTTAATGTTCAATGATCAAATGAAACCCATCAGGGTAATGCACTGAAATTAGGAGGAAGTGAGTTCATTAATATTTATGTTCATTTCAATCAATCAATCAGTTAGAAACTGATTACTGAGAAAACATGAAGAACTCTGTGACCCGAGTCAATAAAATCCAGTCTATAATTATTTTGTGACACAGCTTGTCATTACTAATCACATTTTATCTTTGTTGATTAGCTGATGAATGGAGCCAATGCTTTGACCATGAGATGGTGGTTTTCATCAAAACTTTCCATTAAACCTTGACCTTAAAAACGTTTCCTTCACCTCATATTTCAACTCCTAAAGCTTGTTGCTCGTCAGTCAGTCTGATGTACATCCAATGTAAACTTATGGAAAGTGTAGTTTAAAGAGCCACTCAGCCTGATTGCGGCTGCAATTTCACTGGTAATTATTCCAGAGTGGATTGTTACATTTATTGCAGATATTGCCAGTGATTGCAAAGCTTCAGTAACCTTTATCTAACTAAACTGCAATAAAGTCTGCATTAACCAAACATTAAAGGTCACAAAGGATAACAGCTGGTTAACTGGAGAATCAGTGCATCACTGAAGGTAAAGAACAGACGTACTGAATTCTCAGTCAAGTACCAAAACTGTTTTCCCACACAAATGTACAACTACACAGTCTTAAAGTGCTCATCATCTACACAGAGCTCTGTTACAGTTCAAGTAGATTTTGCCACTCTCCCCACAAGCAGGACCCAAGACATATGAAATACAAATAGAAATTACTGAAAAAGCTCAGCAGGTCTGGTAGCATCTGTGGAGATAAATCAGAATTATATGAGTCAAGATGTACGAGCTCTCTTAAAACGTATTTTCAGCAGAAGCTTGTCTGAATGATATGCTGCCCTGTCAGGAGGTGTATTCCAGCAATGGTTGAGAGGAATATATTTCAGAGAGTCTCCAAACAAGAACCTGTGATGCTTTCTGGTCATTCTGGAGATATGCTGCACCTCGTGGGGAAACGTCTTTGAAATCGGCTGGACTTTAAAGAAAGGCTTTATAATGAATATTGAGAACACAATGTGAGCCAATCCATTGGAAGTAGGATGGGACTACAGAATCTTCAAAGTCAGAACCAGAGCTACAGCAAATAGAGTCTCTAAAGCACAACAGGATCACTCCTTCAATAAATACAGTGAGTAGAGGCCAGTTATACAATAATCACTTTATTTCCATCTTCTTTTAAATACTGAAATCTGAATTCCCTTAAATTTCAACTTCAGTAGGCCAAGTGACATCCTTGTGAATCTAGCCAAAAGCTCTGGCCAGAGTGAGATAGGTTGTACGTATACATTTGAGCCCAGTATGGTCTCCGTGTAGGTCTGCCTGGGCAATTAGCACAGTTGCTGCTCGATATTTGTGGCATCACTCTATGCAATCTTTACAGAATCAACGTCACGGAGAAGATAAAGGAAGAGTGAGCATGAGGAAAAAGCAGGCTGCAAGTTGTTAAGAGAGAGCAACAGAGATAGTGGGCACCCCAGTGCATGGCCCCTCCTGCTCACGCATCATGTGCCCAATAAAGTGACATAGCAGCAACAAGGGCTGTCCTCACAGAAAGAGGTCTCTAGCTCTTTACACTGACTAAGTCCTTGACAGGGTCTGTCTGACTGGCTCTGGTGATCCTGCTCCACTTAGCCTGTGCTCCAGAACTGCAGCAACCATCCTCCTCCTAGGTCTCTTGCAGTACCAGCAGCAACCACTCTCCCTAGTGGTGCTGTAGAGCTGCAGGCCTCCAATTGTACGGCAGCTCTCTGAAGTAGAAAATTCACCCTGCAGGATCCAATCACCCTGATAGATACTCCCGGGCCATCTGGATGGGGTCTACTCCTGTCAGGACTCCTGGAAGTGGCTGTCACCTCCCAACAACTGGAGGGCCCATTAAATTCTGCCCAGGTTGTATACAGAAAATGCACTGGTTACACTAAGTGACCAGCATTGTACCCTGAGTTACATTTATTTTGTCTAACATGGAAGAAGGCAGCTCGTGAACCAAGCCAAATAAAGCCTTGCCAAGCCAAACAAAGTCTCATCCAGCGTTCATTGGGCCAGCCTTGGGAGGATTAAAGAAGCACACATGCTTGAACAGATTCCGTTCAGATTACAAAAGAGTTGCATTGTTATGCTCCCAAGTCCCACTACAGTGCTTGCAGATACTGAGCAGAGAAAAACACACGGCCAACCCTCTTATGAGTGGCAGTATTAAACCAAAGCCAAAATTCTGCAGCACACCTGAATTTGTAAGAAGTATTCAACCAACCTCTCCCTGCCCAGAGCTTGTGGTTAGATTCGCAAGGACATCACATTGAACAGCCTCTGGCTTATTCAACTGAAGTTGAAATTGAAGGGAATTCAGGTTTTAGCATTTAGAATGATCTGTAAATAAAAAGATAAATGGCAATTTTCCTTCGAACTGATGCTCTCAAATTATGTTTGGTCTTTACTCTTGCAGATGCAGCTCGTGGAAGCTCCAGTGAACGCTTCCAAACAAATCATGTTTACGAACAAAGGTTCGCAAATGTAGCCACTCACCATCTGTCTGATAATTGAGAGCAACTAACTGTATCCCATGGAGCCAGAACATGAGAGGCGACGGATTGGAGGAGTCAATCCTAGTAGCAGCAGGATATGTTCGGAGCAGCTGGCAGACTGTGTGTTGGATTAATTCCTGGGAATAACGCCGGCAAAGCCGTTTGGCAGTGTTCTCATTCACCGATGAGATGTGATAACACTTGGGTGTCCGGATGATAGCACTGAGGGAGGTGGTTGGATTAAATGGAGGAGACGATGGCTCTTCACAGCTCTTTCTTAAACCTTCGAAAGAGGTTGCTGCATATTGAATGGGGGGGGAAAAAAAAATCATTTGGTCACTCAAGGATGTCAAAGGCTTCACAAAAACTACAAACAAAATCCTCATCCAATCCAGATCCTGACACAGATTGTTGATTTAAAATCAGGTTTTCCTTCTGCAATTCAAGTTTACATGTTTTGTTTTAAACTAAACAATACACGGTCACTTCAATAAACACATTTCTTGGCGAGTTGCATTGAGTTTTTTTTTGGACTGTTTCTCCCTTTGAGGTCTAATGGGTTAACCGTACCTAATCACACTCACCACATTAACTGTCTCTTCTGCCCCTATGCTGTCTCTCACACCCAATTTCCACCCAAACATACTACCTGCCATTCACGGGAAAACTCATCACTCAGTGGGTAATCACTGAAATATCAGCATCCATTGCATCTGCGCCATCTTTGAAACACCCAGACAAGTGCCAACAAGCTACCACAAACCCATGCATACCAGCATGGCATAGCAGCCACAAACCCACGCATACCAGCATGGCATAGCAGCCACAAACTCACACTACCCATGGCAGGAGCCAACACGGCTGACACTGCCTCGTACATACAACCACATTCTCTCATTTGTCACTGTTTTACCACCACACCTTGCCACTCGGTCGTTCCATCCTGCTTCAACACCCTCCATGTGAATGCTGTCCTCTCCTGTGCCCGCTGCAGACCCACATTGTATCATTGTCAGTAGATGAGGGGAGGCAATGGCCTAGTGGTATTAGCGCTGGACTGTTAATCCAGCGACCCAGGTATTGTTCTGGGGACCTGGGTTTGAATACCACCAAGGCAGATGGTGGAATTTGAATTCAAGAAAAATCTAGAATTAAGAGTCTCATGATGACCATGAATCCGTTGTTGATTGTCAAAAGAAAACCCATCTGGTTCATTAATGTCCTTCAGGGAAAGAAATTGCCATCCCTACCTGGTCTGGCCTATGCATGACTCCAGACCCACAGCAATGCGGTCGACTCTTAACTGCCCTCAGGGCAATTAGGGATGGACAATAAATGCTGGCCTAGCCAGCGATGCCCTCAGCTCGTGAATGAGCAGGAAAAAAAATGCCCACTGGAGACCCACAGCTTGTCACTGTCCAATAAGGGAACACCACATTCCGGGCAAACAATCAAACAACTCCAAACATGAGCTTTTATTCAAAGAACAGCAAAAGGGAACCAGTAGAGACTGACATTTGGCCTCGTAATGCAAGCTAGATTCAGGTACCATGACCAATGACTATTTTACAGCCTATGATGGTGCGCTGCATCCAGCTCCCAACTACTAGAACTGGGCCACAGTCAGATCCTGTCTGCCTCGCAGCATCCTATGTAGTGGAGTCTATCATGGACAACTCCAGCTTCCCCCAGCCCAACATCCCTGCTTTCCTCCCCGGAAGCATGCTCCCATTTCTCCAGTTTGTCAATATCCAGCACACTGCCGCATTGCCTGCTCCCACTGTGCAGAACACAGCACGCCAGGATGATGCAACACCTACTCCCTTGCCATCAGTAACTGCTTTGTAAGGCGCCTGGTCTCTGTCAAACACACCCGGTACAGAAGTGCTCCAGGATGTAGGAGAGGTGGCAGCTGCCAGGGCAGTGGGCACACACCTCCAGGAAGTGGGAACAGTGATCACTGATGATGGATTCCCACAGTGTTGTGACACTACCCTCTCAGTGCCATGGTGGGGGGGGGGGTACAGTCGATGACACCCTGCACCTGGCAGAACCCAGCTATGTTCCTGCATCCTCCTGCCCAGACTGCAGTACTGACCCCATCCTCGGGAAATTAAATGAGCCGGTGTGATCCTGCCCAAATGGTATCGATCACTGCCCTGATGTACTTGTGCAGGACAACAGAGACCCCACAGGGAGCACCCATCCCTCCCTGAAAGGAGCCAGTCAGATAGAAACTCACCTTCACAGCCACTGGGAGAGGGTGCCCCCACCCCACTCCTGCAGCCTTCAGGTCCCTCTCCAGTCCATCACAGTGTCCCGGGAGTCTGCATTGGCACAGCGCCTCACTCATCCCCAGGATGGAAAACTCTGGGTCTCCTGTGTATCCCACCCATCCTGAGGGGCCTCACAGCTGAGCTGGCGTCTCCGTATCCTCTCTGGGGCCATGCTCCTGCTCCTGCTCCTGTTCCTGTTCCTGGGTTTACCATCGGCCTTGCTCCTCCTGAACCCACCTTCACCTTCTCAGGCAGGCAGCGACAGTGATCAACAGCCCAGTAGCAGCTGGACACAGCCCTCTCAATGGAAATGAGCTACGTTGGGGGCACAAGAACTGAAAGAGGTTTTCTGGCCTCAGATGAGTTCTTAGCGCCATCCCCTACAGATGAGGGTGCACACCCCCCTCCAGACAGTGAGATATTCAGCTCCCCCACCCTACCGATTCCGAAAGCCGTGTTTCCATTGGTCATTCAGCTCCAGCCTCTGTGTGTGCACCAACTTGGTGAAGGGGCCACATCAGCTGAGTGTTCGACACCAAACAGAGTCTGGCTGGTGTGCTCCCCAGCGCCACTGTCTCCCCAGACCCACACAACTCTGAAACCCTTCACTACATCCGGTACAGACCATGGCTGAACTTACATGAGAGATGATGGACTGATGGTGTGTGTCTCCCACTGCTCCCTGGGAAGCTGAATGAATAAAGGTTTCTCTTTTGCCAGCACTGACCTTTGGTAATGTCATTGCTGCTGACTCTGCAGTATTGGGACATTCAGGCTCAATTTTCAGGCACCAAAGGCATGTTGAAAAGTGCCTTTGACCAGCATCTGACCCTAGGCACCTACACTCTGCAATGTATAGCATATGGCTGATGAAATGATTGCAAATTAAGTGTAGCTGGGTTTTGAAAATGGCTGCTTCGTGTATTTGTTGCTACAATGTCCTATCATCTAGCAAATGTGGATCCTGGGCTTTTGCCCATCAAACTCACACTCACTCCAACCCTTGTTCCAGCCACTTTCAGGAAGCACATCACCTCTAGAGAAGGGAAAGTGATGGCTGGGAATGAAGATCACAGCGAACACCCTTAGCTCTGGGCTACACCTGGTTACCCACCAGCTTCCCAAAGTCTCCATTTTGCCTACGATCTCAATCGACCCTGACAGCCATCTGAACTTCATTTGGAGATCCAGCACATCAAACCTCACCTCCAACTCTCTGACTTCTGAACCCTGGCATTACAATGTAATGATGCCCAGCCTGCATACCCCTTTGGAGGTCACAGTTGGAGTCATACTCAACAACACCCACACCCCATTCCCCCTGTCACACCCCCTTCAATACTATACCACACACATACTATTCACTTTGAGTGGCCCTTCATCACCAGCCCTATTCCTATTTCTATTTCTACAGATGCCTCTGTTTACTACCCCAGCTTTGATTCCCCACTTTTTCTGATAGTGATCCCACCACTACGGGCTCCCCCAAAACCCTCCTGAAAGATCACTGGACCCCAAGGATTGTATTCACACAAGACCTTTGACCAACTGGAACAAGCAGCCCCCAGCCATGAGTAAGCAGACCCCTGCCCGGTGAGCTTTCAGCTCCCTGCCTGATGATACACCATTCCTGAGTGCTGCCGCTGGGTCTACAGAACTGCTCCCGCCTCGGACTGTATGGGCCAGAACCCCTCAACATGCGAGCTCGAAGTAGCCAAATCTCCCAAAATCTGTGGACTGTGTGCAGACTATACCCCTATCTGACTGTACCAGGATCCCACCAATATCAATGCCCACCCCTTGACTGGACTGAGGACTAGCCCACTCCAGTTTCTGACATAGCCATTTGGCTGAATACACACACAGTGTGTTTGTCCCACAGGCAGCGGGCACAGACTTTGGGTGTTAATCTGGCTTCACGGTGTGCCATCCAGCAGGAGCTCTCCCCATCTTAGACAGTTCGCCAGTGAGAAGCGGCCTTCTGTGTGGCTTTGCAACATAGCATCTTGAAACAGCAGAAATGAGAGCTTTTAATTCTGGCTGAAGTGCCAAAAGGGATGGTATGGCAATGAAAGGCATGGATGTTGAGAGTATGCAGATGGGCACTAAATGAACTAGTGTTATGAGGGCAAACAAACAGCCCTGAGATGCAGCCTAGTCCAATATGTGAGCTGGGTGCCAGCCCTATGTAACTAGCAATCTTTCAATGCTGGTCACTAATAGACTCTGCAGTCCACACATGTTTCCTAAGCAGCCTGAAAGTGTATCAAAGAGGTGCCATGATGTTTGCAAGAGGATGGAAGATGGTAGGTGCCAGTGATTGTGGGCATGTGGATCGTGCCCTGAGTTGCAATTTGGTCGTGGGCAACACAGAGGAGGTTTAGAACAAGAGGTGAGCTGAATTTACCTGGCACCTGCTCTGACTTCCATGTTGAGTCTTCTCAATGTCTACCTTGTTTGGCAGTTTGATCATGTTGGAGGCTGAACATTAATGATGTTCACAAAATGTCAAAATATTTAGTAAGTTTTAATCTTCATCAATTAGCCACTTTGTTGCTGCTGAGTGGGAATCTTACCATGACAACTGTGAAAAGCATAAAAGATGCTGCGGGAATTGTACCTGACATTGAAATTGGCCTTTCCAACTTCTCATCCAATTCTGCCATAGCCCATGTCGCTCAGATCCCTGTAAGATTCCATGCGTAGCTACCTGTATAAAACCCATTGCTGTAGTTCAACCTTAATGGCCTGGAAAAGAGAGCATCACATCCACCACGGGGCTCATCTACTACATTTGCTAACAATTTGGCAAAATCAGAGTTTCAATATTTTCTGTATATACTTAAAGATCAAACGGAAGGTAGTATTCAACTGTTCAGTGTGTAACATTGTGTGTCAATTGATTATTCTGTGATCTGCAAGATGTAAGCTAAGCCTGAACGTGGTTATGGAGAACGAAGTAGTGAAACAAATGCTAGAAACATAAGAGTAGACCGTTTAAAAGTAAAACTGATGTGTCACTTCCTCACATCTCTCAAGCACAAAGCCCAACAATAGACAGGACACCTATTGTTTCATCTTCCTCCAGAAGCAAAAGGAAGATATTCAACCTGTTTAGTTTAATCTCCTCCTCTTGATTTCAAAATTGGCAGTGTAAAACTACTAAGTCCACATTTCTGTGTCAAAGCAGTTCAGTAACAGTGCCTAACAAAGCAACACAGAAGATCACACAGGAATAGCGGCTGCTGAACAGTCCCAGTTACTGAAACTCGCAACTTTCGAGATGCAACGATTAGTTGCTGCTTAGATGCTTCAAAATAACCATGTTTATTATCAGTGGGCATTATTTGTCAATCACCATCTGAGCTCCTGTTACTATGTTAGCTGCCAGCAACAGCCAGATCATTTAAGTTTTAATGGGAATTTCCTGCAAGCCTCGGAGAATTTTGGATCCATAATAATGATTTAAAAACAAAAATTCATACAAAACACACTTTAAACTGAACCAGATCATTGTGAATCAATTATTTTGTGACTAGATCCAAGTTTGTTGTGGGAAACACTGACCTAACCCACTTACCTCTTCCAGATGCCTTAATTGATGTCATTGACTCCCCAGGGCTCATTCTGTTTGACTTCCTGTTGGGTTTCACTTTGCCTCTACTTGATCCTGTTGCATTTAAAGTCGAAAGGCCTGTTCCCATTTAAAATAAAACGAGAGGGTCATCACTGAAGGGTTCACATTTTTCCAACAGATAATTTTTTGATGATATTTTAAGCTCCTTGCAGCTTTGCCCTGCAGCCAAGTGGAAATGTTGCTTTTTGCCGGGTTTCTTTATGTGACTGTTACATCAGTGACTGGCACAGAGAGAAACGACAGAAGTATCCATTCATGTTCACCCTAGTGTAGGTGCAAGCTTCCGTTTTATCTCTCTGTCTTCAAACCTTGGCCATAATTATAACGTTCATCAGACAAAAACAGTGAAACTAAATCCTCAGTAACGCGCTGTTAAAGAGGGGTTAGGTTTCATGGATTCACTCAAATTGACAGCAATCTGAGGGATTTTCACACAGATCTCAGGCAAGAATGACTAGCAATAATGTTAACTAATTAGTTACAGAATAACCACATACAAACAGCGAGCAGGAGAAGACCATTCATCTCCCCGTTCTGGCTGCACAATTTAACAAGATAACGGCTGATCTGACTATAACCTCAAATCCACATTCCCCTCTACGCCTCAAAACCTTTCACCTCCTTTCTCATCAAGAATCTATTCACTTCTGACCTGGCAAATTTTCAAAGACTCTGTTTCCGCAGCATTTTCATAAAGAGAGTTCCAAAGGCTTTCTCAGAGGTGGGGGGAAAAAGAAATCACCTCCCTTCTGGGCGACCCCTTTTATTTTTGAAAGGTGACCCTTAAATCTAGACCCTGCCACAACAGGAAACCGCTTACTTTTCTAAACTCCAGCTGTTGTATTGTGAAATACAAAGGTCCTGACAGTCATTGCTGTCAGACTATAAGTACATAAGGTAAGTGAGGTGTTCGGGTACTGGCAGGGGACGGTGTCAGAATACCACGATGGCTGGTGGGCAAGGTGACATGAGGGTAGGGTAATTGGGGTGCCAGCTGGGAAGAGGTGTAGGTTGCCAGATTGGTAGGGGTAAGCTGCCAGGTAAAAGGGGTGCCAGCTGGAGTGGGGGTAGGGTAACAACTGGGGTGGGGGTATAGTGCCAGCTGGGTAGGGTGCAAAGTTGGGGGGGGGGGGGGGGGATCAGGCAACTTAGACCTCTTCCCAGCTGGCACCCCAATCACAGTTTTTACCCTACCCCCCCTCCAGCTGGCCCCCCTTTTCCCTGGCGGCTTCCCCCTCCCACTCTGCCAACCTAC